TGCAGGGGGCTCGACGAATCCACGTCGACAATCCGGTGACGGTCGCCGGACACCGCTCCAAGAACTTCTTGGAGGAAAGATCCACCACCTAAGAATCACTCTTAGGATACAGGAAACACATGAGAGAAACTCAAATTTTATTCATATCAAAATCTATCTTTATTACAAGACATTGGCTACCTATTTATAGCCAAAAGGGAAGCATCATACTAGGCTACACAAACAAAAGAAAGAATATCACCTCTATAGCCCTATAGCTACTAAATGGACTTAATATAGCCTGAAGTTTAATACAATTGACATTTCAGCTCCGGCGTCATTATGCTTCTAGGCAGTTGAAACCACACAAGAAGTACCCTACCTATGATTTGGAATTGGCATCAATTGTATTTGCTTTAAAGATCTAAAGACATTACCTGTAAGGTGTGAAGTGTGAGATATACTGACCACCAGAGCTTAAAATATATTTTATTCAGAAAGAGTAGAATTTGAGGCAGAGAAGGTGGTTCGAGCTTATCAAAGATTATGATATGAATATCATCTATCAATCATGTAAAGCAAATATAGTTGATGATGCTCTGAGCAACAAGTCTGTGTGAGTAGTAGCCAGTTTGGTTACTTCTGAGTAGTCAATTATTAGAGAAATAGAGGGGTTACAATTAAAAGTAGTGTGTTCATCAAATGCATCTATTAAAATTATTTCTCAAATGATGGTTCAATCCTCCTTAAAAGATAGGATTAAGATAGCTCAGAAGAAAGATGAATAATATGAGAAATTGATAGATCAGATTTGTTCTGAGAGAAGATCTGAATTGTAGGTAAATTATCACAGAAAAATATTCTAAGGCAATAGATTTTAGGTTTAATATAATGGTGATTTGAGAAGAGAGATTCTGCATGAGGCCCACTATTTTGGATATACCATTCATCCAAGCAGCAGTAAGATCTATCTTGATCTGAAGTCGATGTTTTGGTGGCTTCGATTGAAACAAGAAGTAACAGGATTTATTTCTAAGTGTAAAACTTGTCAATTAGTAAAAGCTAAGCATTAGAAACCAAGTGGATTATTGCAACATTTACCTATCCCTAAGTAGAAATGGGAAGAAATCACCATGAATTTTGCTATGGGTTTCCTAGGTCTAGGCAAGGTCATGATGTTGTATGAGTACTTGTAGATTGATTGTCAAGTCTGCTCATTTTCTACCCATGAAGCAAACAAACTCTATTGACAAATTGGCACAATTGTATGTGAAAGAGAATGTTAGGATACATGGAATCCTAATGTCATTGTTTATGATCGCAAAAATAGATTTACTTTCAAGCTATGGAGGAGTATTCAAAAATGTCCATGAACAAAATTGAATTTTAGTACATCATTACACCCCCAAATGGGTGGGCAATATAAAATGGTTATTCAAATATTGAAAAATATGTTGAGGTTATGCATTCTAGACTTTGGAGGAAGCTGGGAAGATCATATCTCACAGATTGAATTTTCTTATAACAACTTTCAGCCAAGTATTGGGATGATTCCATGAGGCTCGATATCAAAGAAGGTGTAGGACATCGTTGGCCTAGGAAGAAGTGGGAGAAAGAAAGTCGATGGGTTCTGAATTGATAGACAGTGCCATTGGAAAAATCACATTAATCAGGAAGAGGATGGAAGCAGCTCAAAACAAAAAGAAGAAGTATTATGATCCAAAGCACAAATCTATTAATTTCAGATCAGTGATTTTGTACTCTCGAAAATCAAGCCCATATAAGGCATAAGCATATTTGGAAAGGACAATAAGTTAATCCCTAGGCATATAGGACCTTTTGAAGAGATTGAAAGAACTGGAAAATCAGCATTAACTTGAACATATATCAGATATTCATAATATATTTAATGTGTCAGTATTAAGAAAGTGGGTATCATTATATATTAGAGAGTCCTTCAGGAAAAAGTAGAAGTGTAACCCAACCTGACTTAGGAAGAACCGAAACGAATCTTAGCTTATAATGTGAAGCAATTGAGGATTACGTAAATTCCCATGATCAAAATTCAATGGAAGAACATGTCTGATCTGATCGAGAGGCTATATGGGAGAAAGAAGTTGAGATGAAACAATTGTATCCTAACTTTTTATGAGAATTGTGAGCACTAATATGTATAGCAATGTCGAGGACGATACTTTTTGTAAGGAGAGGAGAATGTAATATCTGATGTTCCAAACATAACAAAGATCTGGTTTAAGCTAGTACAATTTCCTTTGTAAATCCTTTCCTTATGTATATTTAAGTTAATTGCATTTTTAATTAAGCTTAAATGAGTCTTAGAGCGATTGAGAAGGGAAATTGGCAAAGCCCAAAATTTCCCTTAAGGCACTTCAGCATGGGTTAAAGGAGCATTTCGGCATTGAAGCTCAAGTTTATGGGTGTAAACGAGTTCAATCAAATTGAGAATCTGCCTAATCAAGCTAAACTTGTTTAGTTATTGCTGACCTCGAGCTCAACTCGCTAAAAAATTCATATAAATGAGCTCAGCTCGATTACTCGAGTTGGTTTAGAAAGCTCGAGCTTGACTAGATTATTGAGTTCAATTTCTAATCTCTAATTTAAATTTCATTTTTTACTTTTTATTTTTAATATAGAATTAATTTGAAAATATTAAAATATATTATATAACTAATTTAAATTAATTTTTAAACATATTTTAAAATAATCAAGCATCTCAACAAGCTTTCGAGCTGAGCCAGGCTAAACTTGAGCTTGAGCACTTTTAACATATAAGCTCGAATATAGGCTCGTGCTCGAACTCGTTCCTTGATAAGCTCGACTTGTGAGCTTGTTAACAAGTTGAGCTCGAGCTAACTCGGCTCACTTACACCCCTACTCAGGTTAGAGAAATCTAGAAAAATCTGGAAGATTTTATCTGAACTCATCAACACTGAGTGTTTGAGTGCCACGGTGTTGAGCACTGAAATATTTTTTTTAATATAAAATCCTGAGCCCACTTCATAATTTCATCCCATTTTCACCCAATGCCCCTGCTTATCGAAGAAAGAAGAGAGAAGAGAAAGAGAGGAGAAAGAGGAGAGAAGTTTCGACAACTATAGCTCATGTTTCGTCCATCGGACCAGTTAAGGAAATTGTTGTGCTCGAGACAAGCTCCTAATACCCTATTTCTAATTTCAATTCTGATTTTTTTGTGAAAAGATAAGGAGTAAAAATACACATTAATGACTATAACTAATATCTCATCGTTTAATTTGTAATGTCATAAAATGCTTCATTTTGAATACTTTGACTATAAGAAATAAAATTTTCAATTTTTCATCAGTTGGTTTTATCTACAATAATTTTTTAATATAATTGAGATTGATTATAATCTCGCAAAAGTCTTAAAATGATGCTTAGAAGCCTAAGTGTGAATATTACCAAAAGTTAGAAAAATATGAATAATATACACGTGTATTTTCCTCTGCATTATGGTATACTTATATAGTTGTACTCATGATTATGTTTAGCACCTTGTGTATATGTTATATATTAAAACTTACATAAATCTTGAAGTAAATGCCCAACATTGGACTCTATAGGAGAGGAGGAAGGGAGAGAGCAGTTCATCATAATGATGATTCAAATGAAGAACCCCTTAGTGATGACAGTGCTGATGACTTATGAGTTCTTATGTGATATGTCATTGTTATTTAGTTTTGGAATTATATGTTAATGAAAAGAATACTGGGATTTAGGAAAGATAGAATTTTGAGTTGAACTATATTTCATGTTGTCTTATTATTGGGATATTTTGATTTCACTTCATATCTTATGTTTTTTTATGTTTTATATTATTCACTCATTAGTATATAAAAAATTTATCATTTTATGTTTACACAATCTTTTAATTTTGAGGCTTACACCTCAAAACGCCTTGAATCTTACGCCTCGCCTCAATACCCGAATACGCAATTTTAAACATTGGTTATACTCATTTGTGGATATTTAATATTTCAAGAAAAAGAAAAGGCTCTGCTAAGTAAAGTGGAGTTGATAAGGACAGCATTCTCAAAACCCAAACCTGAGGTATTTTGTAATCCAGTTATTTATTATTTTTAATATTTAGACTTCATGTGAACTAGATTATTGCATATAATTTTGGGAAATAAAATTCAAATGATGCTTTAGATTGTTAATTATATTCTGGATTATTTAGCTAGCTGTGATTTATTCCTTGCATGGTGGTTGAGAAATTTAGATTTAGGTGACCTGATCATTCCATTAGATCTAGGAGCATCACAAATAATTCCCCCATTGAAAAGTCAATCTTGCCTATTTATGAAACAAATTGCCTTATCCAAAAATCGCCAAAGAAACTGCTATAACTAGCAACTAGTTCGACTTCTATGAAACAAGAAAAATATGATATTAATCATATTTTTTTCAATATTGAAGGGCCCATAATGTCTAACATGAAAATAGCAAAACTTCCCAAAAATAATCACTAAAACTACGTTGAGATAATACACATAATTAAACAATAATGCACTTATTAAAAAATATTAGTCTGTTACATTCCATACCTGTAATGCCTGTACTGAAAAAGAGGGTGCGCTCGCGGATGGAATGTGCCCGTGGATACCTTTTCCCTGAACAATAAAATTAATAACCAGATAAACAAATTCTCCAATGATGATCATTCTATAAATTTTCAAATACAAAGATCCACAGCTTCTTCTGGATTCGTTCTTCTAAAGGTACAATCACATCCACGGTCATATATGTGAAACTTCAAACGGCAAATGTAGATGTATTATAAACTGAAAACCAGGCATGTTTCATTAATACAATCAAATTAACGATATCCAAAATTATTACACAAAAATATCCATAGCTCTTTTATTGAAAGAAATTATATCTTAAGAAAGCAAAGAGCATAAATAGCAAGTTAATGGAGTTATGTTATGATGTTGCCACAAAATATAAGATTCACAGCTGGTTTGAAGACAATAATTCATACTCTGCATAACTTAATGCATGCACGGAAACTAACCATAAACAAAAGACCAGCAGTATCGAATGATAACTTTCTTTACAATGGGAATACCAAGGTATCCAAATGGACAAAGATATGCAAGTTGATTAAAAAGCTAAATGAGCAAACCAAAAGCAAAAAACCATACCAGACTTGTTGAGGACCACCTTTCATACGCTTAGAGGCAGCTATTTCCTTAAGATGGCTATCGACTGAACCAAAATTTGTAGCTTCTGTGGCTGATAAAGGCCTCAAAAGCTGTCCAACGTCGGGTAAATTTTGAGAAACAGGATATTTCAATGATTTCTCACTTATCTTTGCCTCCTTGCTTCCAATAAGAAGAGCTGCAGCCCCTACTTCAATAAACCCATGTGTATGGAGATCATGGGCCTTTAAAGAACTGTCATCATGTTACAATGAAAGGCAATCAAGAAAATTCCAAGCAATCAAAAGAAATACCAAAAACTATTATTGAAAGGTAAAGATATGAACTCAAATAAGCAAATGAGAGGTACCTTTCTCTAATCAAATATGGTGATTGGTGTTCTCTATCGCCAGAAAATCTCCATGAAAGGAGGTCAGAGTAAATGTACTTGTCACTACTACCAGCATCAAACCCATCAAGGTTTGAAACTTTCAACAAAGATTGTAAAGAACTTTGATTTCTTTGTGGAGAATCTGTGCTAGTAACAACTTCGGAGTTTTGATGGGAAGTAAGGGATTTAGTCAAGAATGATGATAGAGAAGGAAGTGATTGTTTCCCATAAGTTGAAGGTCCAGACGTCCCTAATGGTTGAATGAATAATTTAGGAAGCTGCTGTTGCACTAAGGAGCGCACATAATTCAAGGATTTTACAAGAGAAGCTAAAGCAAAACTGGACGCAGGAAGAAATGTTGGTAAAACGTTGGAAGCTGTCCTAGAATTTTGGCTTAATGCCATAGACCACAATGATACTCGTTGTTTAGTAATAGATTCACACTCAAAAATACAATTCTCACAAAAACGATCAATCTGCCGTAACATTTGTGCCTTTGGCGTATATCTGTCACAGAAAACAAAAGAAATTACCTTAAATAGCATGTAATAAGCTAATAAGAAATCATCTCATTCACTTCACTAGAATTACATTTCGCATCATTAAAATATATAAACGGGTCTACAAAAATAGAAAATTACAGCAAGGATAACTTACCGCAGTAGATAGTGTTTTAGAAATGTGATGCAGCGTGGGACTACTGCCGGGCTGAATCAAAAACATCTTTATATTAGAAAACGGACGTCCTTTGTGCTCATTCATAATCTTGGAGACTTAAAAAAAAGTTTCAAATGCACAAGCATGCCATCAAGAATAATGAGAACAAAAATCTAGAAAAATAAGATGTGTTTTGAAAAGTTGAATTTGCATAAAAAATGTTTTCACAAATGCATAAATATAAACTATTCTAATAAGGACTCATTTTGTTTCAAGATTTCACGAATGGAAGGTCTTTCCCAGAATTAAGAGAATTAATTCAAAATCCGAGGATAGGCAGCTGAGTAAGAACTAAAGCTACAAACAGCTTCCAACGTGCATAATTTGAAAACTGCAAGTATTGTGATGTCAGTCCCTGCACATGCAATGGAGGTGCCATTTAAAGGACAGAGATAAGAAAGGCCCAAAAAATGAGTTATGTACCAGGAAAAACCATATTTCAAAACTCAGGCATAAAAATCAAAGGACTCATTTTTGTCTAATAATACAAGAATTGAATGGCCCAAAACTTTCATCTGCATGCATGTGTGTTGCGTTGTTGAGCATTTGCAAGCTCATTTCTGTGTGTCTGTAAGGAAATGAGGAGAAAATAAAATGCATAAAAAGAAAAGTTAAAGATAGCCCCAACACCCACCCCACACAAAAAATAGCTGTTGTTATTTGACATTTTAAATTGTTGGAGTTTGGAAAACATGCGGGGAAAGTAGTTGTTACTACCTATGTATTTTAAGCTCGTGCATTTAGGATGTCCAGTTTTGATTATCTTGTTATCCAGGATGCTCGAATACTTGAATTTTATGGCCTTTTGATGATTACTTGAAATTCAGATTTAAATCGGTGAGTTTAAAGAGAATGGTGTTTTTTTGACATTCTATGAGGTTGTAGCTACACAGTGGAAGATAAGATTAGAAAGAGTCGCCTAAGATGATTTGGTCACATAAAACGGCAGCCTTCCGATGACCCAGTTAGGAAAGTAGAGGTATTAGATTTGACTCATGTTAAGAAAGATAGAGGTATACCTAAAAAGACTTGGTTAGAAAATATTAGACATGATCTTTCTTTATTAGATTTAAACGAGAATTTGACTTTTAACAAGACAAAATGGAGAAAATGATTCATATAGCCGACCCCACGTAGTGGGACAAATGCTTGATTTTGTTGTGTTGTTGTTGTTGTTGTATAAGGTTGTAGCTTCAAAACTTCCTAACTTTGGATGCTTAAACTGTCAGAACCAATGTTATGATAGGTTGGTGAATTTATGAGATCTATTTCAATTTTAATAACATTTGAATAATAAATTTGTGTCGAGGGAAACAACTCAACCAGGACCGATTCGCCCAAGCCTGGATGAGAGCACCGCTTGCCCCAAATAAATCAAGATGATGATGGGTGTAGTGGATTACAAAGGAGATAATTGAGAAGGCTCTTGCAAGATGGAGACCAAAGAGGTGCCAAGTTTTATGAATCACTGGTGTTGCAAAGTCACCAATGAGGATATCTGATGAGGACATCCAACCTTAGAGAGTCTACCAGAGGCGTGGCCGTCAATCTACGGCCACGATCGTGCCACTTTACTTATGATTTTCATTGTATCAGATTTATGTACATAGTAGTTTATTATTTATGAGTTTTATTATGTATTTTCCGTTTATGCCCTAACTAAAGGGTTTAGTCTTGTGTATGCCCAAAGGGCAATTTGGTCTTTGTATTTTTCTTTATTATTTGGCTATTTAAAGTCTTCCCCTCCTTCTTGGAGGGTTAATGAATGAATGAAGAATTATTACTGCATTTTCTACTTGTGTTCTTGAGAAAGCTTGTGAGAAAGCTAGGGAGAAGGAGCCTAGGAGGAGCCAAGCACAATACCCAACAACCACCTTTGGTGAGCTCTTGGTTTTTATTTTCTCTATCCACCCCTCTTTTTCCCTCCTCCCTTTTCACTCCACCACCGGCAAGATTTCCCCCATCTCCTCTTCTACCTCACGGCCAAAACCCCCATACCATCCTAAGCTGTCGGCCCTTGCCAACCCAAGATCCAACCGCCGGCCACCCCATCATCCCCTTGGATCCCCAAATTAAATCCCCCATTATTACCTTCCATATTTGACTTCTTGTTATTGAGAAAAGAATTTGAATTCAAATTCAAAAAAAATTGAATTTCAAAGCTTTCAAAATGAGTCTAATTCTTTAGGAAATAATTCCCCAATCACCTTAATCTGAGATTTAATCTCAGATTTACTCTTCAATCACAAATTAATCCCTTGGCCCACGTTCATTGAATGTGGACACAAATTCCCCCCTCTCTCTAGGCCAGCCTACCCCCTCCTTATTTCTCATTAATTATTGCCATTATCAATCACCATTCAAGTCCACAAATTAAGTCCAATTTAAAATTCAAATTGTGATTGATTTAATCTATTCCTAATTGAAAATTACTGATTAGGCAAGCAATCAAACCCTTCATCTATTTCCTCCCTCCCTCCTAATGTCGGGCCTGCTCCCACTTCCCCTCTCTCTACCTGCCCACCTCCCTCCCCTAGCTCTCAGAAGTAATTCCAAAGGAGGAGGGAACCGCAAGGGAACTCTTAATCCCTTAAACCATTCTCTTTCCTCCAACTGATCACGAAAGCCTGATTTTTTTTCCTTGAACGGGGTTGCTGTCCAGAATTCTGAAGGTTGTTAAACTACTGTCCAGCAGATTTCTGCACTTCCACACCAGCTGGCCAGCTCCGGAATTCGGCCCATTGCTGTCCAGACTTATCCTAGTTGCTGTTTCGAGTTTCAAGCACCTGAAACCTGCTGTGTAGAAGATCTGGAACGTGTAATTGTTGTCCAAGACTTGCAAGGTGGTTCCCTATTGCTAATGTGAACCTCTTCCAACCTTATATCACCTAAATCTTCTTCAATGGTGGACTTATTGAGTCAAAAAGGACTGTGTTAGCTATCTCCGTTGTATAAAATGATCAAGTGAGAATAGGTAAATAATGATTCTATAAATATAATTTTCGTTCAATTGTTTTGACATGTATGGAATAGAGTTAATTTGTGTATGGTTGAATTGTGGCTGATGTTTAGTAGCTATTTGTAATTTTGGGGGAACATTTTATTGGATTGAATTTTATATTAGTTGAAAGAAATTAACTACCATCCAATTATCCATTCCCGACTTAATGTAAGTACTGAGGCAATCAAAAATTTAGGAAAGAACCCAAATTTTTTATCACAAAATTAGAAGACTTCCTATATAAAAGAAATACTAAAAATGTTAAAAAAATACACCAAACTCTAAAGAGACGCAAAATAAGAAACAAAGACACTTTCATAATATTAGAGAAAACTCTTACATTTCATGTCACTTACAAACTTGGACACAGACCTAAACTTGCTTTTCAAGAGACGAAGGATACAATGGAGTGGATACTTGCGGAGAGACGAAAGAGATTAGAAACCAAGACGAAGGTTGGAAAGAGCTCGTAAGATTTCCATAGAAGTAGAAGAAGAAGTGGAACAAAGCTCTCAAGCTTTTTCCAAGAAAAACCTCTCAGGTTTTGTCCCAAAAATTATCATCATAATCTCTCTAAAATATTACAAAACAACTACTACTTATAGACATAAGAGGGGAATACAAACAGCCCCAAAACATTAATTAAAAGTTGAAAATAGAAGGCCAAAAGGCACCTAAAAACTGCAGTAGAAATCTGTCCATAAATTAGCAAAAGTCTCTTGGAATTCCTCCCAAAACAGTCACCAAACAGTCCCTTATAGACATAAGAAGGGAATACAAACAGCCCCAAAACATTAATTAAAAGCTGAAAATAGAAGGCCAAAAGGCACCTAAAAACTGCAGTAGAAATCTGTCCATAAATTAGCAAAAGTCTCTTGGAATTCCTCCCAAAACAGTCACCAAACAGTCCCCATAAAACTGTTCAAATTCTGTCCAAAAACAGCCCCAAAATCTCTTCATATACTCAAATAAATGAGGGAATTGAAAGACCAACAGTCACCTCTCAAAATCCCAAACGGCACAGCAAAAGAAACAGGGAATAAAGCCACGGTTCCAAGCAGGGAAGTCACGGATCCCAGCAGCCAAGCACAAGGGCCAAACAGCCATATTCATTTCGGTAAAAGGGGGACCACATGGCAATAAATTCAAGAGGAAACCAACGGGCCAAAACCAGCATGGAATCCGCAGCAGTCCAAGAGGCAACAAGAAGAGGAAAAGGCAAGTGAAATTACAGAGAAATGAGAAGAATAAAGGGGGGGAAGGAGAAAAGTCAAGTTTAAAAATTAATGAGCTAATTTTTAGTTCCATAAATGAACTAAAAAATCAGCTCATAATGAGCTTCACCACTACTTGACATTAATGAGCTAGAGAAGTCAAAAATCAAATATTAGGATTTGATTTAACCCCCCCTGCCTACATCAAGTACTCAGGCCAAATCGTAACATAAACTCCCAAGTATTCATCTCCAAAAATTGTCGAAAAGCCATCATGTGGTAAAATCAAGAGAAGGTATTTTTAAGCATAGATCAAGCAAAAGATTCACGTTCAGTATAGTGCAAGCATCGAGATGAGCCAATCTATACACATCTAAGTGTAATGGAGATTTCATTTACCGTGTAAACTAATCCACTTTTAACTTGTATGAAAATAAAAATCAGAACCAGACAAATACCTACCCATGCAAAGCCTCAAAAATTCAAAAAATCAAATATACAATTCAAAGAATCTAAATTGCTTACAAAATGATAATACATACCAAACTCCCCTTATTCTGAGTTTGAGTGAGAGAGAGAACTTCATATGGAAAAAAGTTAAAATGCTTAGCCAAAAAGAGTAAAAGGATTTACAGTCAATCTAAAAGGTAAACAAGTTAACAAGGAAGATAGACATTGATGGAGGATGGGAACATGAGTATGAGCAGAACTCATATATTTGAACGATGTCAGTAATGGGAAACAGTGGAAATTCAAGATCAAAGGTTTTGCATAAG